GGGCACAGTATACACCTAACGTGACCCCGCCGACTAATGAATCAGTTCTAAGAAGGTCTACTAGAGAACGATGGCCTGTTACACATTTCACATATGACACCCTTGGCCAGCCCTCTCTCCGGGTGCATCCATCAGTCAGTTGTGCTGAAGTGCACGAGTCACCAAACACAACACACTACACCATGCCACCATATCCCCTGTTACCTTACTTCCCCCTAGTGCCATATCGCATTCCAACATCTCACTGTGCACACCCAGGCACCTTCCCTCTATATTATAACTGCCCAATCTATACATGTTAGTACACAAGGAATGTGGGTATGTGGGAAGGGGATGTGACTTGAGTTGTTTGAGTAATGAGTATAATGAGTTTTAAAGGGTAAGAGGTTAAATGTCAGGAGCCATTTTCTTTTTGTTGGGGAGTGTGTGACGCCCACAAGTGTATGGTCACAATTGTAATTTTTTTGTGAATTGTTTTTGATGTAAAAGACCTGGAGGGGGTGAGTGAGTGAGTGATTCGTTTGCTCGCTCTATGATTCAGCACAGGAAGGGAGGGGGTGAGTAGCTCAAATGTGTTGTTAGCATGTTAGCAGCGCGATGCTACTCTGAACCGAGGAGCTATTTTCTTGATGTGAGCTTCTACTCAGGGTTTTTTCTTCCAGTTCAGAGCAGAAATGCTTTTGTTACGAAACTGGCTGTTGTTTTTCCCCCCACAATTTTAATTATAAGCTAGATATATTTCTACTAATGGAATTAGTTTGCTAACAGCAACAGGGATGAGTCAGTGAGTCAGTTGGGCTTTTCACTCGTAGTCTAAATAGGCAGCTGGTCTTATTACCTGTTTTATTTTGTGACAAACGCAGCTCTTAAGACGCTTCTTTTATCCTGACATTATTGGAAGTTACAGTTGATTAGGACCTACCCAGTTCTTATGTGTCAAATGTAAATAGTCTGATGTATACTGTTTGTGGATGATTGTGAACTGTTTGTGAGCAATGGAAGAATATTTTTGTTTATTGGTTACAAATGTAATATATTGTTTGAATCTGTTAAAGTATAAGGAATGTATAATGGTATATAAGCGGGTTAATTGCAGTGTTAGTGGTGCTGCACAGAAATGTTTTTGATGCTGAAATGCAGTAGAATTGGTTACAGATTTATTGTAAATAAGGACACTCATACAATGATTATTTTGTAAGTTTATTCTTGCGAGAGTGCAAGGTAACCAAAAGGGTTTGAGCTATGGACCTAATTGAATGTTTGTGTTGTTAAAAGAGAAATCTGTGTGTCTAAATGAAAAGAAAAGGACGTTGTTAAATTCTGTTAATAAACCAGACGAGGAAGAGCCTGCAGACCGAACGCAACTGATGTCTCCTGTCTCTGCTTTTCTGTTAAAAAAACAGTTTAAAAACAGACCCCATCGAAGGCCTGTAACATTCACCATGTAGACTTTATTATTAACTTAATTTGTGTTTTTTATGCTGCAAATAAATAGATAAATACCATTGCTTGATTTTATAAAGCGTATTTCTTTTTTCCGGGGGGGGGGGGCTTATAATTATTCAATGAAAAGAAAATATCCACGTGGGATTAGTCAAGAAATTATGAGACATTTTGTATAAATTCCATGTTAATGTGCAATGAAAACACTAAAAGTAAAGCAGAAAATACTCACCGCCAGCCTTAAATGATCAGAGGTTAGTTTGGGGTTTACTGTGCATCATGCTTTGGTAATAAATAATAAATAAAGTCTTCTTAGGTCAGAATATGCTTCATTTTCTTCTCTTCTTTTTGGCCTTTTTATCTTATAAATTAAGGATAATGAAAATTGCTGTGACTGATTCATATATTTTTAAGAAACTGTGACAAAGAGCATTCATGCTTCAGACTTGGCCTTTGTTGGGGGATTATCATAGAGGTTCCTTTACAGCAGGGGTGGGCAACTCCAGGCCTCGAGGGCCGGTGTCCTGCAGGTTTTAGATCTCACCCTGGGTCAACACACCTGAATCAAATGATTAGTTTATTACCAGGCCTCTGGAGAACTTCAAGACATGTTGAGGAGGTAATTTAACCATTTAAATCAGCTGTGTTGGATCAAGGACACATCTAAAGCCTGCAGGACACGGGCCTTGAGGCCTGGAGTTCCCCACCCCTGTTTTACAGTAAAAGCAATGAGTTGGTACAGCTGACAGAGATTAACATTTATTTTTCTGTTATTTTTTCAACCATTTGATTTTTTTTTTTTCAAATCTCATATTTGAGACCATAGCAATCACAGCAGCACCATCACTGTCATCATCAGGAAGCTTTCCCTCCTGTGATAATCACTGAAACGCTTATAAAAGCTCCGCTCTCACACTGCCTGCCTTCTGTGTTTCACCTGCACTCAGGTAGGTCCTCATTAAAATCTCTGCAGTGTGAATTTGTTTGCATAGCAGCAGTTACTCTGTTCCTTTATTTATATGATTTAACTATATTCTATATTTTAAATGATATTCTAATTTAATGTTTTAAATATTATTTACCTAAATGTAAAATTTGAGGTCATTCACATGTAATGGAGTATTACTACTATTACTAATATTGCCATTCTAGAGGCAGCAACCCCAAGTTGCTCTGATTCATCCATCCAATTTGAATGTATGTGAATGTTAGACAGAACGTGTGTTTATGGGTAAATGAAGCAATTTGCATAAAGCCCTTTGAGTGCTCAGGTAGACATTTATTAACATTATATGGAATAAAACTGCACTAACTGAAATAAAACCACAATTTTATAACTTTGTGATAAAAAGGAAAGAGCATGGCAGTTTTTGTTTAATCAAATGTTTATTTAAACACAGACCCAGACCTAAATGAATCTGCTGTTAACATGTATGATATTATAGTTATAGAATAACTGAGAATGGTTTGAGTTTTGGCCGACGCTCATGTCAGACAGGTAATGGGGGAGATCAAAAAAATCTGATCTGTTAAAGCATCAGCAGCTAAGACTAAAATACAGACTCGGAACAAAGTATGAAATTCATAATAATGTGGCAGTAAAATTGTAAAGCTCACACCTCCTTTATTTTAGGGGAAAGTGTCCACTTTTTAAATCGTGGTATGCAAGATTTTTTTTTTTAAAACTGATTATTAAAATTATGATACTACTATTAATGTAGTTGTACTAGGATGAGTTATTTAAACAGGTATTGTGTTGTCTGTGTCCATCCTCCCTCAGGTCTCACATGTGAAGAATGAGCTCACTGCTGGGTCTCAGAGGCAACATGACCGTCCCTTATCAGGTTAAGATAAGATAAGATAACCTTTATTAGTCCCACACGTGGGAAATTTGTTTTGTCACAGCAGGAGTGGACAGTGCAAAAGTTATCAGGCAAAAATTAGAATACAATAAGAATAAATACAGTACACAACTGTACAGAATAGAATAAAATACTATATACAGTAGAATAAAATAAAATAAATATACAATAAGATAAAAATAGAATACAAATACAAATGCTATATACAACTGAGTAAAAAAGTTCAGTAAAGCAGCTCCAGTAAATAATTATGTCAGTTAAAATATAAATCTATTTATATTTAAATAAAATCCTAATGTTGATTTACTTTATGGTGTAAACAAATTACTAAAACTTGAATGTCTGCTCAGTAAAATGTACTTTTATCAAGGCTACAAGAGGAAAATTCGGTCCAGACACTATCACCCAAATAAACAATGAAGATCTTGTTTGCTGTTATTCTCCGTTTCCTGTTTCATGTGGGTGCTAACAGACGCCAGAAGCAGATAAACTGAATTTCTTGTCTCTCGTTGCTGGATCAGCTGCTGCTCATCAGAGATACTTTCACCACAGCGTTTGTCAAGAACCTGATCGTGGTTCTGGTCTGGCTCACACTCAGTTACATCAACGGCACCTTGGTGGTCACGTTTTTTAGACACCAGGTAAACACACACGCATGCACGCGTTCTCACACACACACACACACACACACACACACACACACACACACAGAGCAGCTTATTTGTCACATATTATTATTTATCCTGTCATTTATAATTATTAATCCAAAACATGTTATTAATATGATATTTTGGTTGACTGGCCCTGCAGCGCCCACAGAACATACACGTCACACACATGTATGAACTGATAAATGTTTGTTTAGTGCATACTTACAGGAAATTACACAAAACAATTTAAAGATGTCATTATAAGGTCAACACATAGAGAAAAACAGTGACAAAAAAATAAGAAGAAAGTACCAAAACACACGTACAAAGCATGTTTGAAATATAGATATAGCTGAGATTTTGCTGTTTCAAGAGTGTGTGCTTCACTGCACTCCAGTAAGACACTGAAGGCATTTTGTACTAACAACAGCAGCAAAGACAAAGCTGACCGTGAGTGACATCAGGCACCTGTAAAGGTTTTTTTTTTTCCATTCACTCCATATTTGATGATAAGGCCGGTATTATTTCTGCTGCTGAGTGAGTGATACAAAAATTTGGAGGGTTGTAAAAGTTTCTTATTGTTATTCGTCCTTAATGTGTCTAAAAACAGAGGGCGTTTTATTTTTATGGAATTTAGAAAAAAAGAGTACATGAAACCGCAGCTAATAAAACTGTTTTTGAGGCAGTATTTCCCCCAAACTCTACTTACGCCCGTCACTCTTTTCTTTTCAGTCCATGGAGAAACAAAACTCTACAATAGTCTGAACAAAATCTCTATTGCTGTTAAGCACAGAGTCATTCTATAGAGGTCGCTGTGACTGTTCGTTGGGTAAACTTTTGTCCACAGCTGTGATTTAAAGCTGGAGTTCACGATTAATGTGCATGTCTGGAAATTTGCAGTGAGGTTTGAATGCATCAGATGCAGAAGTGATTCATGTGCCTCTACACCAAACTCACCGAGGAGTGTCACACAGAAGTATCACAGCACAGGACATTTCACTCCTTCTGTTTCCTCCTTCAGACCTTTCATGACGACCCTCGTTACATCCTCTTCATCCACATGGTGATCAACGATGCCATCCAGCTGACTGTCACCATCATGCTTTTCATCCTCAGCTACATCTTCTACAAGATTAACGTCGCCTTCTGCTGCTTCTTCATCCTGGTGGCAGTCTTCACCACCAGAAACACCCCTGTCAACTTAGCTGCCATGGCCATCGAGCGCTACATAGCCATATGCGAACCTCTGCGGTATACCCAAATCTGCACCGTGAGGAGGACCTACATCGTCATCGGGATGATTTGGTTTATCTGTGTGGCTCCTGATATTACAGATCTGTTTGTAACACTTGCAACCGAGTCTCTGAGCTTCTTTCATGAGTCGGTGTTCTGCTTGCGCCAGAATGTGTTCAAAGACCCGATCCTGGCGTACAAAAGGCAAGCCGTTGATATCATCTACTTCTCCTGTGTGTTTCTGATTCTGGTCGTCACCTACTTGAGGATCCTGTTTGCAGCCAGAGCCCTCTCCACAGATAAGACATCAGCCCAGAAAGCCAGGAACACCATCCTCCTCCACGGGGCCCAGCTGGCTATGTGCATGCTCTCCTACGTCTCTCCTAGCGTGGAGGTGGTCCTGCACATCATCTTCCCAGGTCGGATCCTCGAAATCAGATTTGCAAACTACCTGATCGTCTACATCCTGCCCCGTTTTCTGAGTCCAATCATCTACGGTGTCAGAGACAAGAAGTTCAGGGAGTACCTCAGGATGTACTTTCTGAGCAACAGATGCAGAAACAAAGAGAAGAAAGTAACGCCCGAGGACAAAGACCACTTATAGAGACTTGTATAGTGCTTGAAGAAAACCTTTAATTTGCAATGTTTTAATGTGAAAAATAAATACATAAAAATGTATTTTATGTTGACAATCCTGGCAAGTGCAAATATCTAATTTCATGTGGTCTGAATGTGTGAATGTCTCAGAGATTAAGGAGAAAACAAACTGTTCAAAGGAGCGAATGCTTATTGGGGAGGCCACGTCCCAACAACTTAAATCAGGGATAAAAAAAACTCATTTGTGTGGGAGAATAAAGGACAGATTACCCAAGATCATAAAAAATGTTTTTATGGTTTGATATGAAGCACTGACTTTTTCTGTGTTAGCAACAGTTCAGACTCTTTTCTGTTTTTTCAGCTGCAGTTTGGACTCCAGTACAGACACCTTAAAGAGGTCAGCACATTTCTTTTTCCGCTACACTTTTCGTAAGAGTTGTGTTCACTTTCATTAAGCCAAACCATTTTAAATGTGGCACCGATCTTCAGTGACAGAGATAAACTCCAAACCCAGCATGCAGAGGAAGCACATAGACTAATTTATCCTTCAGGATACTGTGGACACTGCTACACCGAGCAGCACCTCTCCCACATGTACAGTCTCAATGGAAAAAAGCTCCACCTTGTGGCAAAATCTATTCTCTGCTGTAAAACCTACTGAATGAAAACATTCTGAGTTTATTGATGTCTCGGTTTATATTTATTTTACAGAGAAAGGCTGCGTAACATGTTGAAGTCTGTGTTTCTCGCAGCAGGTTTCCTGGGGTCATCCTGGTGTACTAACACCTGCCCAGGTTTACTTGATAACCAATGTTGGCCTTTTTCTAATCCTTCGCTAAGACTCGCAGTGAGCAGGAAGTCAGTCAAGCAAAATAATGTTGCTGATTATATTTCTAACACAAATCCAGCTCACCACCGTCTCACGGACTGAAACTGCAGAATGGGACACTGAATGAAATCAAATGCAGCCTGAAGGAAAAGCAAGATCAAAACCATCTGATAAAACCTTTAAAAAAAGTTTCAGCTGACCTCAAAATCTGCTTTTTTAATACCAAAAATAATTTTACCCTCATATTACAAAAATTAAAATTAGAGCTACGTGCTTTTGAAGTCACATGATTTTTGACTCCTCATCACAGGAGATATCAAAATGAATGAAAATATAATACTGAGTCAATTATTCTAAAACCAAAATCTTATTTTTGTTGAGCAACAATTTATATGTATCCCACTTTGAGCATTAATGTCATAGAATATATCCAGATAAACCCACTTCATGACTATGATGAGGAATACAAAAACAAGCTTTAGTACTCTGGATGTTTTATTTGGGTTTTTATCATTGATATCTGGAGTAAAGCTCAAAATGTTAATTTTCAGTGAAGCTTTTAAGGGTTGTATCATGATGTAGGTTAAATGATCGAAATGAAAGGTCTCGATTTAATCTGCATTTTGACCCAGACTTGTCTTTCAGCCATGATTTCTTTTTGTGACAAAATAATTTCCAGCATTTCCATCTTGGTGTGGTTTTTCCTGACTTTATGGTCTTCAGCAGCTTTGGACATGGATATAATGTCTTTACATTAAACACAGCAACATGTTGTAATTGCCTGACTGCATGACAACAGTGGTGTCCTGACGTTTGCACCACTCAAAGCTCCAGTTTTGAAATTAGTAATCTGACATCATCCTGTAGAGGACGGATCATATTTAGGGGGCTTATCAGAGCCAGCAGGCCCAGTCAGGGAGTCAGCAGGTGAGAGGCTCTGACGTCTGTCTGTTTAATGTCTTTGCACATCGCTCTGTGATTGCCATCTCTTTCTATCAAAGCTTTAGCATACATTAATGCAATATTTAAATTATGAATATTTCCTATTTTGTTGGTTTGTAAAGGCTGAAAGTTGTAAAAAGGTTTTTCTTCTGTTCATTTGTATATTTTCTCTGATGATATTAACATATAAAATGTGAATGTTGATGTATAATGTTGATGTATCAGCAGTGAAACAGAATGATTTTTAAATCTAACCATCTCTCTTTTCTTAGTGTGTGTATATGAACATAGGTTATGTTGTGTTTGAGTTACTCACAAAAACAATGTTCCTGCACTCCTAAATGTTTTGTTTGTTTTTTAGAAGAGAGAACAGAATTAGAAATGACCTCTGACCTTACTGTAAAGAGCAGATCTGTGCACAGGTGTGTGAAGGCTAACATGTTATTATAGAGTTGCCTTTTTCACTATAATACTTGTGCTAATAATAATAATAATAATAATAAAACATATCCATACCATGTACTTTAACATATTCCAGAAATGTGTCTATGTTTTTTTACTATTGATCAAAGATTTATCATTAATTAAAGATGCAGTGTGTAACTAATAACTGAAGAAGTTCATTAGTATAACTGTTGTATAATTGTAGATTTTATTTCTTTGCTCCTTCAGACAGTGAGAAGGAGGAGATGCTGGTCATGAACTCCACCTCCACTGGGCCTCTTTACCCGCTGGTGTCAAACACCACCTCTGTCCAGACACAAGGTGTTAAGGAGAGCTTCTCAAGCATTCTGACCAAGAACATAGTGGCCATGCTGGTGTGGCTGGTCCTCAGTATCATTAATGGCAGCATGGTGCACACCTTCCAACGACACAGGTACTCAGAGCCTCAGGGATACACAAAAATGTATTAGAGGACAGCAAAACTCCCAAAGGTTACATTCTTCTGCCTTCTTCCATATTAAAATGTTTTTATTAAGAAAAGATGCACATGAGAAGTCAGATGTTGGACACATTTAACATTTGAGTCTCGAGTATAATGCTGCATGAAAAGTCTGTTTGATATTATTTACTCTGGTATAAAAGTAATGCTCTAGCGAGGAAGCACCCTCACCTCAAATGAGGTATTTTCAGCACTGAGAATACATCCAGAGGTGACCCTTTGAACACACGAGTAAGGGCGAATTCAGTCCAGAGCTCTTATGTGAAAACAGCTTCGCTGCATTAGTCCAGTTTAATCTCCAGTTTAGCAATAAAAAGCCTAAACTGGTTTGAAAAGAGAAAAGGAGGAGACATTTCCTGGAAAATGTTCAAAACTAAGCAGATAAATCCAAAGTAGAAACACTTGCATGTGATGATATGGTGTACACACACAAACATAAACCACAGCATCTCTCTCTCTCAGCTCTCAGCTCTTTGTTCTGACCCTAGTCTCTTCTACGAGAACCCGCGATACATCATGTTCATCTCCATGGTGATCAATGATGCTCTGCAGCTAACCCTGGTGACAGCTCTCTATGTGATCAGCTACATCTTCAGGAAGATCCATGCCTCTGTTTGCTGCCTTCTGGTAAATCACAGCAGCATCAGTCAAGCCCATCACATATGTTTTGCATGTCATGTCATCCTTCTATGGGATCCTGGCTACAGACCATCTAACGTAAACAGAGGAAAGGAAAACAGTGCTGCATCTTCACAGGATCTGTATGAATACTGTTATTATTGATTTATAATCCACAACAGGTAGTAAAGAAGAATATAACTCTGTGATCTACAAATTAACTACTATACACCATTATTAACCTTTCTGCTCTCCCTCCACCCTCCTCTCCCATCCTTAGATCATGACAGCGATCCTCACCACGCGCTCCACCCCTCTCATCCTGGCCGGCATGGCCGTGGAGCGCTACATCTCCATCTGTTTCCCTCTGCACTACAGCCAGATGTGTAACATCCCTCGCACTCTCCTCCTCATCTGCGTTATCGTCATCCTCACCATCACCCCGCCCATCACCGACCTCCTCATCACGATCGTCAAGGAGCCTCCGAGTTTCTTCCACACCAAGATTTTTTGTGACCACTCACTTCTTTTTCGTGACCAGTCCATTTACTACAAGAACTGTGTGTTTGACGGGACTTACCTCTCCTTTGTGGCCCTTGCGCTGCTCTACACCTACTGTAAGATCATGCTGACAGCGCAGGCTGTCTCAACAAGCCTCGTCTCTGTGAAGAGAGCCAGGAACACCGTGCTGCTTCACGGGGTGCAGGTGGGTGTCACACCATGAAAAAGCATTTATGAATCGACACCATTCACCAAACATTATCATCTGCCTTTATCACTAGTTCCCCCTTAAATGTTCAAAGATGGTGCGATGAAGAGCAAAGAGATTTTTAAACTGTTTACTTAATTCTATCTTGAATTTAAAAGAAAATTCCCAAAACAACGAACAAGTAGGAGGTGGAGACAGAGTGTGGAAGGTGCCATTTTTAAAAAACTGAGACTGTTGTATAATTGCTCCAATTATCAGGGTACTACTCAGTTTACTGGGGACAGTTTGTTTCTGGCTGATGGGAAGGAAGCTCTGCCCTTAAATCCATGACGAGCAATGCAGATTTCAAACAGGCCATGGAACAGTAGAGCTGATCTTCACCTTTGTGGGACTTTTGGAGGCATCGTGGGAGTTTGACCGTCCAGTCTACATTTTTTTGTAGATTTGGAGAAGGGTTACAGCTGAGTTCCCCAGAGCCACCAGTCTGGTGTACTGCGAAAATTCATCGGTCTGAGAACCTGATTTTATTCATGAGTGATGGGAAGGTGGAGAGTGAGTTGGACAGGTGGACTGGAACAGCATCAGCAGCAATGTGGGCATTGGAACACAGATTTTGATTTATTAGTCCATCTACATTATAACCCTCAGCTATGGCAATGAAATCTGAGTAAGGTCATGAATACAAGCAGCTGAAATAAGTTTTCTTCATATGGGTGCATGGGCTTAGCCTTAGAGATGGAGTGAGGAGCTTAAAGATCTGGAAGGATGTTGGAGTAGAGCTGCTGCTCCTCCATGTTGCATGCTCTTTACAGTAAGGTCAGTTGATGTGGTTCAGGCAGTTGGCCTCCTGGGAATCTGAACTGGAACACCATGTCTTGGCTGTCCTGGAAACACCTTCCAGCTGGAGCTGGAACGTGTGGCTGTGGAGAAAAATCTGGAAGACCCGGCTTTGCCCGCTGCCGGTGCAACCAGCAACCTACAACCTACAAAGAAGCCAGTTTTGCCTCTTTGTCCTTTTTTGTCCCTATTGTTACTTTTACCACATCCCCTGAACAGTTAAAGGAACATATATCTGGAAAATATCTGAGTCCAGAGGCATAAATCAGCTTTATCTACACTCTGTTTTTGTTTCAGCTGCTGCTGTGCATGCTCGCCTTTGTGGTTCCCTCCCTTCAGGCGGCTCTGATCTCTCTCTTCCCTCAGCTGAGCCTGGAGATTCGATACATCTTCTTCCTGCTTGTCTACATCATCCCTCGCTTCCTGAGCCCCATGATCTATGGCTTTCGTGATGAGCAGTTCAGGAAGTACTGGACCCGATACCTTTCCTGTCACGAACACAGCGTGACTCTGCTCAGGCTGGCATCACAGAAAATGAACCCTCAGGTGAAACAATCAGGGAACCTCAGCTCAACCTGACCACAGTCTGCTGCACACAAACAGCCCACTGTGTGATCATTGTTTCACCTGTTTGTCATGCATTCATGGATGGATAGATTTAAATAACATCTATAATAATTAAAGCTCAAAGTGCATGGGCTGATGTGCAGATTAATACATTCCCAGTGAAATCTGTATTTTTTTGTCATCCATGTGTGTTTCTGGATCAAAGCGCGACTGAAACACTGTGAAATTTGTCTATAAAGACTTTTAAACAAATTATAAAGGTAGTTGTGATGTTTTATTCTTGTACAACTAATCCTGAATAAAATAATGCTTTAAGTATCTAAAAGGGCAATAATTTAAAAATATATGTAATTAACTGCAAAACCATTTTTATATGAATAAAGTTTATATAATTGTGTCAGAACACAAATCAACTGTCAGAGGTCAAAGCAAGAATACTTGTTTTGTTTTAAAGTGAGTGACCCTAAAATTAACCACAGTGATGTCAGCAGTACTGAGCAGATCAGCATCATTCCTAAAACACCAGGTATCAGCTGTTCTCGTGCAGAGGAACCGGACGAAACAGGTCATTTCCTAATATAGCAGAAGCTGGTAGAGCACGAGGCGTAACATGCCGACGTTTTGTCACGTCCCGCGGCGTTCCTGAGAAACACCAAAGAAGACCTTCGGCGTTCTTATGGTACGCGGCGGGTTATGGCTGAAATCCAGTGCAATGACGCTCCCGCGGTAATAGCCCTGTATTCCAGCCCTAACCTTATTCCTGATCTTAACCAGGGCTTTAATGACGTTAAATAGCGTGTTTCTAAGCGATTTGAAGAAAAAGAGCAAACATGTGTAGATTCAGTCCAGACAGTTCTCATATTTCCTCATTTTTCCGAGGTCGTCATTTCGGAACGGTGGGTAGCCGGAAACTTAATATGTTGACGATTTGTCACCTAGCGTAAAATGTTACGCTTTGGGAGCGAGAATAACACATAAACTGCAGGAGGTGCTTATACCTGCCCTAACCCTCACCAGCTGCAGTTAGTAATCTCTCTTCCACAGCATGTCTGTTTTCCTTCTCTCACCTCAACTGGTCGCAGCAGATGGCCCCGCCCCTCCCTGAGTCTTGTTCTTTTGGAGCTTTCTTCCTGTTAAAAGAGAGTTTTTCCTTCCCACTGTCGCCAAAGCGTTTGCTCACAGGGTGTGGGTTTTCTGAATTGTAAATACCTGATCATGCTGTTTGAATAAAACCTCATTTAGATCTCTCATAATATTCTTGCACAAGATTTCTGATAAACAAACTCTGTGTTCACAACTACACACAGTTTTCAAAACATAAATGATAATCCACCCTCTGGCCTGCAGCTCCCCACCTCTCCAGGATCATCTCACATCACTACGGCAGCGAAATCTATATAACCACACGTCTTCCTGTTCCTCTCACTTCTCACACGCAGCTGCACAGCCCGTTACATCAGCACAGGCCAGAACGGTGTCGTGTTGAAGTAAGTCGTTTTTGCTTAAAGACTTAAGAGTAGGAAGAAGTGACTTACATCTGCTGTCTGCTGTCTTTTAATGCTGAAGTTTTGAATTTTTTTGTGAAAACATATGAATGGTGATCATTTTAAGAATAATGAACAAATACCAACAAGTTTTTGGACTTTAGAGATGAAGTGGTGTTTATGGCAGGATATTTAAAAATTTTCAGGGCATCTGAAACTGCAGAGTGACTAAAAAGTGCTTATTACTCTTTTTGTTTCACTTATTTTCAGTCCAGTCCTTATCATTAGTCTCTGAAGAAAAGTTCAAAATGTTAATTTTCAGTGAAGCTTTTAAGGGTTGTATCATGATGTAGGTTAAATGATCGAAATGAAAGGTCTCGATTTAATCTGCATTTTGACCCAGACTTGTCTTTCAGCCATGATTTCTTTTTGTGACAAAATAATTTCCAGCATTTCCATCTTGGTGTGGTTTTTCCTGACTTTATGGTCTTCAGCAGCTTTGGACATGGATATAATGTCTTTACATTAAACACAGCAACATGTTGTAATTGCCTGGCTGCATGACAACAGTGGTGTCCTGACGTTTGCACCACTCAAAGCTCCAGTTTTGAAATTAGTAATCTGACATCATCCTGTAGAGGACGGATCATATTTAGGGGGCTTATCAGAGCCAGCAGGCCCAGTCAGGGAGTCAGCAGGTGAGAGGCTCTGACGTCTGTCTGTTTAATGTCTTTGCACATCGCTCTGTGATTGCCATCTCTTTCTATCAAAGCTTTAGCATACATTAATGCAATATTTAAATTATGAATATTTCCTATTTTGTTGGTTTGTAAAGGCTGAAAGTTGTAAAAAGGTTTTTCTTCTGTTCATTTGTATATTTTCTCTGATGATATTAACATATAAAATGTGAATGTTGATGTATAATGTTGATGTATCAGCAGTGAAACAGAATGATTTTTAAATCTAACCATCTCTCTTTTCTTAGTGTGTGTATATGAACATAGGTTATGTTGTGTTTGAGTTACTCACAAAAACAATGTTCCTGCACTCCTAAATGTTTTGTTTGTTTTTTAGAAGAGAGAACAGAATTAGAAATGACCTCTGACCTTACTGTAAAGAGCAGATCTGTGCACAGGTGTGTGAAGGCTAACATGTTATTATAGAGTTGCCTTTTTCACTATAATACTTGTGCTAATAATAATAATAATAATAATAAAACATATCCATACCATGTATTTAACATTATAATTATAATTATAATTATAATTATAATTATAATTATATAAAACATATCCATAGCATGTACTTTTACATATTCCAGAAATGTGTCTTTTTTTCTTTTACTATTGATCAAAGATTTATCATTAATTAAAGATGCAGTGTGTAATTAATAACTGAAGAAGCTCATTAGTAATAATAATAATAATAATAATGGATTGGATTTATATAGCGCTTTTCAAGGCACCCACCTTGAAGTTTTGAATTTTTTTGTGAAAACATATGAATGGTGATCATTTTAAGAATAATGAACAAATACCAACAAGTTTTTGGACTTTAGAGATGAAGTGGTGTTTATGGCAGGATATTTAAAATTTTTCAGGGCATCTGAAACGGCAGAGTGACTAAAAAGTGCTTATTACTCTTTTTGTTTCACTTATTTTCAGTCCAGTCCTTGAACCTAACGATTTCAGAGAAAGCTTTTGTTCTTTTCTTAAGCATCATGACACTGACCTATGAACTGTTCACGCATTATATAAAAAATCCTAACTCAAGTGATGAACCAGTGTTGTGTCTGTGCACAACAGACTTTAGACACTAGGACTTGAATGAAAATAGAAACATGAATCCAAATGTCACATTTGTCATCAGGATCTATGGAGGAGGTCAGCAGACGTGAGAGTCTGTAGCGATTTGTAAATCACAGCGGAGACGCTCTCATGGCTCTGAATTTTAACCAGCAGTGTTGGAAGGTTTTTCAAAATTGATGAAATTATAATGCAGAATAGTATTAATAATATAGTATTAATAATTAATCATATTAATCTGGAAATCATTAGCTTAATTTCTCCATAGAAGACAATGATCCCAAACACATGATAAATATTGACTTATACAGTCATAACGTACTTCCATTGTCTTATTGTTTTTTACATGTTTTGTTTTTGGTGGCTGGCAGTGATATTTCAGCAAAATTCACCAAACTACATCTTATTAACATGTAACACAATGTTTGTTTTGATTTTTCTTTTGTCTGTTTTTCTTAAAATGAAATTCTTCCTTTTGCCATTTCTTTTAGTTTCATTCAAATCATGATTCTTGTTCATGATTTGAAAAAGAATCATGAACAACAGAATCAAGTTTCTGTTAAAAACATGTTTTATTTGTCTCAGTGGTTGCAATGAGTGAAAAACACCACTTGAACCTTGTGCTATTTATGGAGTTGTTTCTCTGAGTTTCATCTTTCGTTCTGTTTTAGGTGAGTTCGGTTTGTCGTGTCCGAGCAGGACGAGGTGTGACATGAACACAACCAAACGCCAGGACAGCTTCAATGACGCCTTCACAAAGAACTTTGTCTCCTTTGCTCTCGGCTTCATCATCAACTACATTAATGGGATGTTTGTCTATACCTATTTTAAGAGTGTTGTCTTCCAGCAAGACCCCAGGTGTATCATTTCCTTCTACAAGATTTCTATCACATCAATTTCAATAATAAATCAAAGAAAACTGAGAGCAGGATGAAGTTTGTTATTATAATTTGATATTTCTGCTACCTAACATTGGGACTGTTTTTTGCATCTGTTGCCTTGTTTTGCTCTTTGGTCCTCTCCTGTCCCGTCTCCTGCAGGTACGTGCTTTACATCCACCTGGTCATCAATGACATGATTATGCTGACAGTTACTGTGATGCTGCAGATCCTCACCTACACCACCCCCCTGAGCTTTGCTCCCTGCTGTGTCATACTGCTCATCTCAGTGACAGCCAACAAGTAAGTATCTGTGCGAGAGACAGTATAACAGTTTGTATATAGCCACTGACCATATTATTAGGTACACCTGAAAAATGTTAACATACATGAAGCGTGGGTGACAAAATATTCACTACGCTTTTAAATGAAATGCAGTATTCTGCTATTAACTGTCTTCATGCAGGAACAGTCCTCTGAATCTGGCCGGCATGGCGGTTGAACGCTACATTGCCGTTTGCCGGCCTCTCCATCACTCTCAGCTCTGCACGGTGCAGCGAGCGTACGCTCTGATCACACTGATCTGGGCTGTCTCCTTCATCCCCTCCATCTCAGATGTCATCATCCTCCTCGTCGTTCAGCCCCACTCTGTCTTCACGAAGAACGTCATCTGTTACCCCTCCTTTGTGTACAACACACCGTACCATGAGACACAAAGTCTGGTCGTCCAGGTGACATGTTCGTTTTCTACGTTTATGGCTCAGTTTAAATGATTGGTGGATCAAATGAACTTGAGTTCTCCCCCTCAGGTCCTCCTGTTTTCTTTTGTCTTCCTCACTTTGATCGTCACCTACATGAAGGTCCTCTGTGCTGCTCGGGCAGTTTCTTCTTCTAACCAGGCCTCTGCCAAAAATGCTCACAACACTATCCTGCTGCATGGAGTCCAGCTCCTCATCTGCATGCTGTCATACATTTCTCCCTTCATCAACCTCGTTTTAGTCACAGCCTGGCCCCATAAGAGGACCATAATCATATTCACCACCTTTCTGTTCACCAACCTGCTTCCACGTCTGCTCAGTCCACTCATCTATGGTGCCAGAGACCAGAAGCTCAGCAGCCACTTCAGGGTTCACTTTGGCTGTAAAGGTTTTAAATCTAGAGGGAAGAGCAGGAAGCGCAGGGTGCCAGAGAAGCACTGACTCTAAACACACACTATACCTAAAAAAGTGTGGTTTGACCTGATTTATCCAGTGAGCACAGACGTTGATTTTGGTCTGAATCAGGTTTGTCCAACTCCAGGCCTCGAGGGCCGGGTCCTGCAGGTTTTAGATCTCACCCTGGGTCAACGCACCTGATTCAAATGATTAGCTCATTACCAGGCCTCTGGAGAACTTCAAGACATGTTGAGGAGGTGATTTAGCAATTTAAATCAGCTGTGATGGATCAAGGACACATCTAAAACTTGCAGGACACCGGCCCTCGAGGCCTGGAGTCGGACACCTCTGGTCTAAATGAAGCAAATTAATTGACATTATGCACATTTTTATGTAGGTGCAGTCAGAAGAGTTTGTAGCTAAAACTTGCCTACAGGATAGATTTGTACATGTACCCTGTCAGGCACACAGCTCTGTCAGCTCTGGCTGCAAACGCAGAAGCCCCACTTGCTAATCAAACATTCTGATTAAGAGGGGCAGCCAATCAGAAGAAAGAAAGCGGGATGAGAAAATGATGAACTGAGTGTAGGGTAGGATTTGTTTTGAACTTTGAATCATGTGAAGTTGCTCAAGTAGAGTCTGTGAATAACAGTGTGGTGATAGAAGCATTACAGCAGGTTAGGTGTTCCAGTTATCAGAGAAGATGACAGAATTTCTTATTGCACCGCACGTAAAATTCTGAAAAATGTTTATGAACAAAACAAAAAGAGAAGCAAAGACGCCCATCGACCCAGACTGAGCTGTAAAACTTCATCATGCACACTAGATGGAGCCCTCATCATAGACATGCAGGAGCTTTCCAACATGGAATACTTACTGTACAGACTCGCTGTGAGAGATAAGACTTCTGTTTTATTTACTAGCTAAATGTAATTTTTGATTTGAAAATTTCCCTTTGATTGCCTAAATATTGAAAGATGTACTACTCATATACCCTTACAAAACAAAAATAAAGAACACTCAATAAACAGGTCAATAACGTTCATAATAAAGTGTAATAGTAATAATGATATGTACTTAATAGTATGTACAGGAAGGTTACCTTTTCACAAATGTTTAAATTATGAAACTGAGTGAAATATCTGTTGTTACAAAACACAATTTTTCCAGTCTGGTATGTTAAAAACCCAGGTCTGCACACACTGCGCTTATTATTTCTCAGGAATGTGTTTTTCCCATGTTTCCTCATAAAAGAAATTGTGTAATAAAAAGGTAAACAGAACATTTAAAAATATATGAGAAAATATATAAAAGGAAAGAAGTATGACCCATTATCTCAATGAAATGCTCATTTCTGTATTATAACTCCAGCGTGCAGCAGATCAGTGACATAAAAAGATTGTAGATGTGCAAATGATGAGAACACTTTGTGAACTGGACAGTTTTGCTGAATATTTGAATCAATTTGGAATCTTACTGAATGTCATCATGACTCATATTCCAAATTTCTGTGTGTCACAGCTTGTGCAGAATAAACCTTTGTAATGGTTTACGGCACTCGAATAAACAAATGAACAAATACATCTATTTATAAATTTATTATGAAATCAATAGAGACTCATGCTCACATGCTGAGATTATGAGGTTGTCAAATGTAGGTAAAGAAACTGATACAAAATGAGCTAAAATTAGTCAAATTCACAAATCAGGATAGCGAGATGATGCAGGAAGGAGGAGAAGAAGCTCAAGATCACATGTGGGGAAAAAAAGCTGTGGAAAAGATGTAAGTGGGCATATAGGCCTGTTACACTGTGGGCCACACACAGCGCACTTTGGTTCAGACCTAAAACAAATCAGTTTTCTGTCAGTATAAAGAAGCTACACATTTAATCCCTGAGATATCTTAATGTAAGAAAAAAGTCCAACTAGGAAACTTACTCTCAGTTTTTCTGCACAACAAAGAAATGTTGCTACAGCAGATAAGAGACATCTGTCAGCACATCACTTTGGGCTTAAACTGCAAGAAATAAATATGTAAAATTATAGAAAGTAGCTCATCACCCAGAAAGTTTTTATTAAATCAGAGAATTTTTTTTATGTTTATTTATTACATAATTACTTTGGTGCTGTATGAATAGCCATTGAGAAGGTCTTTATCAGTGCAACGAGTTGTAAACATTTATTAAATTATAGTTCAAATTCAGGTAAACACCATTTTAAATACAGTTTATGCTTTCCTTCACATTTTCCAGTGGACCGGATTGGAGTCTTTCTTGAGGCAGTTATGGCCCCCGACCCTCATGTTTGACACCACTGATTTAAGCAGAATTGAACACGTGACACAGACACTGTTGGCAATACAGTGAGGAAGTGTTTTAAAGTTTATACCTGAATAAGAAAAAAGGTAAGTCAGCTGTTCAGAGCTGCAGTGTGTCCCTGCTGGGATATTAAAGCCTTAATGTAGGAAATAAAAGTAAATTAATTTTTTAAAAAAAGAAGAAGAAGAAAAAGAAGAAGTGGCATTTGGGACTTTACACGTTTTTATCACACACACACACACACACACACACACACACACACACACACACACA